GGGAACTTATTAAGTTACACCGGACTAGCCACTCAGAAGCGCCCATGAGTGGCTAAGACACTGAAAAAGCCCAAAAAAATGGCGCGGGCAGGAATCAAACCCACAGCCTGAAAGTAACCACAGCGCGTTATACCACTAAGGCATAAGACCTTACAAACATTGGGTTGGAATTGGCCTATAATACCACTTTTTCACCTTAAAGTCTTAGCCATAACATCAGAATATGCCTTTGTACAATTACATTCCATTGCTTTAATACATAATAATTGGCTAAAATATAGGACTTTGGGCAGCTAAGACACTGATGTGGCTAAGACACCAGTGTGGCTAAGACACCAGCATGGCTAAGACATTGAGACATTGAATATTTGCCATTGATTCTACTTGAGTATAATTCATCTACTCAGGTGTCTGAGCCACACTGGTGCTTTAACCATGCCATTAGAATATACATATGTACAATAAGCAGAATCAATAGCAGATATTTAATATCTCAATGTCTTAGCCATGCTGGTGTCTTAGCCACACCAGTGTCTTAGCCATAACATCAGAATACACCTTTGTACAATTACATTTCATTGCTTTAATACCTAATAATCAGCTAATATGACTTTGGGCAGCTAAGACTAAGGTGGAAAAGTGGTATTATAGGCCAATTCCAACCCAATGTTTGTAAGGTCTTATGCCTTAGTGGTATAGTGTGCCATGGTTACTTTCAGGCTGTGGGTTTGATTCCTGCCCGTGCCATTTTTTGGGCTTTTCAGTGTCTTAGCCACTCATGGGCGCTTCTGAGTGGCTAGTCCGGTGTAACTTAATAAGGTCCCGTGTCTAGGCCGCCGAACTGAATCAGCTCTCGTTCAATATCCGTAAGTGAAGATCGCCGCCCGACCAAGGCGAGCAGAAGCACGCACAGGAGCCGGTACGCTCTCTTGCCCGCATGATGAACCGCGCTGACCAATCGCTCTCTAGTAGACAGGTGTACATTACCCTCTGTAGGTAGCACTTTAAATTCAGGAGAGGAAAGAGAAAAAAAGAGAAAAAAGACCAATCACTCTACACAGATATTACTGTTATTCAACTGGCCGTGCATGAATCCCCGCCCATGGACCCAGACACGCCAACTCTCCGCGGGCTCTCTCATAAGGTCACGGTCTGACCTGACCTGGCTTGTCCAATACACGTCCGGAGGTGAGGTCGCCGGTTGATGCGGACCCGCTGTGCCTATCGATGCGCGCACTCCTGTGGGCCGGGCAAGTTAGCTGGCGCGAGTGGATGATCTGAGACGGTCTGCGTGCAGCGGAAGATTCCCTTTGTGTGGTGCGGAACTACCTTCGAACCTTGGGAGAAGGCACCGCCGCGCTGAACAGCGATGCAGAGACAGGATTATAGAGGCCTCGAGTACCTGACATCGCCTTCGCAAGCGTTCGCGGGCTTTTTCTGCCAATGCAGAGACGATAGTGGACTCTGCGGCGCGACATCTAGTATATAAGCAGCCGCTCTGCCGTTCCTGGTGCTGGCCAGCTCTTATCTAGCTCGCAACTGTTTTCTGTTCTTCAAACAACCCTCCATTCCTTTACGCACTAACAACGACGCTCACGGCCGTCATCTCCACGCTCGCCCTCGGCGCATTCTCTCAGCTCGCCACCGCAGTCCCCGCCCCTGCGCCCGCCGCATACCACACTCGCGACATCTGGGCCCCGCACATGACGTACCTGATGGCAGAGACAGCCTGGCAGTTTGGTCAGGCCTACACCGTCACCTGGTAGGCGGCCGTCGCATGAATTTTTGGGCCCGCAGAAGTGCCGATGCGGAGCACATCAGGGACGCCTCGGATGCGCCCATGAATATCATGAGTGGCAACAGCGGCTTCATCCTCCTCCGTTCTGGCGATTATGAGATGTCTCGTGAGTTTTTGCGTGCGTCAGGGTGTAAAAGGATTCTAACAAGGAGGGCGCAGCTATCCTCGCGCAGAACATCCACCTTCGTGATGGACAGTATCAAGTGACTGTGCCAGACGTCGTCACTGGTAGCGATCACAGTCTGGTATGTGAGTATCTTGCGTCTCTCGATGCTTGACACTATCGTCATACAGGCCGACGGCCAGTATTAAGAGACTCGGGGAACTGGGGTCCGGAGTTCATGATCAATGGCCCGGTCACGTTCTGAACGCGCACTCAAGGAAGCAACTAAACGACAGTAGCACGAACGGACACAACGCGGACTTCGCTTTGGGCTCGTACGGATACTTCGCTTGTGCTGCACTTCATCCTAGGCTCACTGGTCAGTAATCCCGCATTGCACCACACACATCCTCCTGCATGTACCTGCGCTTGTTTATATAACAAATCTGTGCAATATTTCGCTGCTTTCTGCTGTCGCAGCTGAGTGACTGTACACGCTCTACATCAGAGAAGAGAAAGAGCAGAATCTGTATGTGCGAAAGTCTGCATGTGAGCATGGCGACTGGAGAAAAAACAAGTCTCTGATCAACGCCGTTTCGTAAAAATCGGACAGCAGATAAAACATGTAGTACAGGAGAGCCGATCGTGCTACGAGAAATGAGGGAAATAAATGGAAAAATTTGGAAGTAAGAATGCGCTGTCAGGGAGGTAGGACAGCTGCCTGAGGCTCTCGACAAGAAAGTACACGTTCGCCAAGATGTATAGGATCACAGATAAATAAACTAGTGTAACCCACGTGCAATTGATGAGAATACTGAACGCGTGTGGCACCATTCTATCAGAAGCACCATCGACCAAAGCCCCGAGAGCAGTGGTACCGACGAGAGTGATGGGGAAGGCTACCGCTGCAACGGATGTGACATGCCATAGCACACGCTCGACGCGCGTCGGGAAGGTGGCATTCCAGCCCAATAGATGTGGCAGCACGTATGCGGTGACGAGGGTGAGGAGGATGGTCAATTCTCCGAGTGAGATATTTCCCTCAACTGTCTGCAACCCGCCTGCCTTCGTGTACTGATTATAGCTCTCAAGCTTCCGGAACCCGCCTATTCGTGTTGCCGCGCGTGCGGCGAGCCGCCATCGCAACACGTCGGTCTTCCCAAGCATGATCCTACCATCCGGTCCCCGCTCTCGCGCCTGCCACGGACGGTGGGTCTTGCCAAACACATCGCAATCCTCAGGGTCTGGCGTCATCTCGGCCTTGATAGCGAAGGCGTAGGCTTCGACCTGAATAGACTGTGTCGGGAGCAAGGTAAGTGTCTCCTGCCCCTCGTCGAGGACAATTCCGCTATCCCCTTCGGGCGCACAAGAAGTGATCTCGAGATAATCCATCTCAGCAGTGCCCGAGTCATCCCAAAGCCCCACGGCACGTGAAGCAATCGGCCTGCAGACCACTTGGAAGTAGGCCGCGAATTCGTGTGCTCTCTTCCCTGTGATCTCCGTCGGCTTGGGGATGTCCAGCGGCTTCTTCCACCATATGGCGTACACGAAGATCGCTCCGAGTGCGTGCGCTAGGGTCCAGACCTCGAGCAGGCTGAGTGGTAGTGCCTGCGCGAGGCGTGCAGTGCAGGATACAGCGAAGTAGAGTAGCTGCACGACGAGGAGCGCCTTCGCGAGCCCGCCGGACTTGCTCTGGCATACGATATCATCCTTCGAGATATCAGGGATAAGGTCAGGGTCGTGCTTCATGAGGAACTGTATCATCCAGGGAGCCAAGACCAGTCGCGTCTCTGTCCCGAAGACCGGGGTCTGCGAAGAATCGAGGACGAAGCCACCCATGGCGGCGTAGTAGCTGTGAGTGAACGTCCAAGTATTCTTACGAACGCAAGACTGTATCGTAGCGCTATCAGTGTCGGCCTGCGGAATGATAAAGTCTTAGCAAAGAGGTCTCGTTGGCAGAGCGCGCGAGGCATGTCGCATCACCCACTTTATCGCTATCGATTTCCGCTTCTGCACATAGGGTGTGCTCTTCCTCTGTCGAGTTGGGCAAATGTGTAGAATCCTGGTGACGATTAAACGAGCGTAAATCGGCTTTCGACGCGTGATGCGATCCCGATGAACTCACCTTACCTCTTCCACCCCAGGCACTGACACATCTCCATAACCTTTCCTGCCAGGTGAGAGCAGCCGCCAGTTTCCCCACCGGCAAGCAATCGCTTGCATGCTCTGAGAGCTCCCACGCACAGCAGAGCTGATAGAAGGCCGTATAGAGAAGCCAGTCGGGGCCGAGCAGCCCGACGATCAGCCACCGAGCTTTCTCGGGGAAGGTCCGCATTCGGCGGTTAGGAGGTATGTCGATGTGGATTGCGCTCCAGACGCAGATGACGAGGGTGGATATGCAGGTGGATATGATTTGCCATGTACCACGGGAGGCAGGAGATGGATACCAGGAGCCCGCATCTACGGCGGAGGCGTTCTGTGGGGCGAGTGTGTACATGGTAGGCAGGGGAACAGGAGAGCGGCGGGGAGACTGTATGCGAATCTACTCCCCCGTAAGACTTATATTGCCACTGCCACATCGATCCGGGCTGTAGGGTACAGAAGCTGGCCACGCCGGAGTCCTGCACTGCGCCAGCAGGCGATGAGGCTGTACAGAGAACTTCCTTTCACACAGTTTAGCTAGTATCAATGCAGAACTAATAGTATTCGTGAAATATTACTCACGACCTTTCTTGGTTTATAGGGACATTTAGGACAATCATAAGTACCCTCCATGAAGTGACTGAAGCGGACCTGCCAAAGCATATAGCGAAAACGCCAAAGCAGTGGGGCGTGACCGGGGCCGTCGCCGTGTGACGGATAACGGCGCGCTTCCTTTCTGCGTCTCAAGATCTCAAGATCTCGTATGTACCGCGTGCTGTCGGTGCGATGTATGGTACGGACACTGAGGAAGGTACCGTACGCGGATATTCGATAGTCACGTTGTTTTTGTGTGTCAGAACTGGGCGATTACGTCATTGCCCTGTACGGACTAATGGGGATACATCACATGACCCCCGATTATGTTGTAGTAATACGGACTAGATTACTCATGCTTACTGTACACGCTTACATACAGGTAGTACCATAGGTCCCTTAGCGGTATCAGGAGTCCTGACTCTCATGTATATATACCGGCCTTGTAGCACAGAATACGATAAGAGTTCAGTCGCACTTTAGAAGGTTATGAGCCCCGGCCTCACGGCCACTCTACCCCCACTTTACTAGTCTCATTGCTGAAGAAGACCCCTCGGGAAACCTCGGTCCCCTTCACCCAGTTTTAAACAAGTTTATCCACGCAGTTTACGAGTAAGTCTCGTTGCGTGCTAGTGGCAGACGGAGCACTCACGCGTTCATTCCTGCGTAAATTTCTAGTGCCCAAGGATTTGCCCGCTCGTCCCCCTCACTCCGTTTTCCAGCGGTACAAGCACTCCGCCGGCTACGCGCCCGCCTCCGGCAACGCCAACGACCCCGTCGAGACCGTCCCGTACGGTAAACGCCGCGGCAAAGAACTACGCCCGCCGACTCCAGCGCTCACTCTCCCGTTCCCACCGAACTCACACGAGGGTAGGCGCCTACGTCGCGAACAGTTCTGCGAGCGCTACGCGACCGACAAGGCCGACTTCGAGCAGTGTCTAGCTGCACGCGAAATCCAACAGGCGCGCGAACGGATCCTCGCTGGTCCGTCAAAGCCGACACTCGAGCAGCGTCTCGCTGCCATCCCACCGGCGACACATACGCCGATCGCCCCGAAGCCGATACTCATCGACTTCGACAAGCACACTCCCGCCGACCTCGTCCGCATCTTCACACCGAAGTTCGACGGCACGCTCAAACGCCTTGACGTCTTCGAGACTCTCGAGCTCGACGACCTCAACACCGACCGAGTCCGCAATCTCCGCCGACTCATCGAGCAGCTCACGCGCATCAAGCGCTGCCTAGCGGACGTCTGCAACGTCGTCAAATACGAGGAGTGGCGCAAGTGGGAATTAGGGTGCAGAGAAATAGGGGATATCTCGTTCAAAGGGCTACGCAAGAACAAAGCCCGGATTGTACAAGCGCTTAGCGCAGTTTACGTGAACGGATATTTTGACGCGGTTAAGTTTTACGAGAACAAGTAGATACTTTGTATACAACGCTATTGTAACAATCAGAGAAAAGTTCTACTCGGAAACCTGACTACTGTGTGTTTATCCTAAGCGACAACAAGAGTCGTAGTTTAACTGGTTCCTTCGTCCAATCCCAACTCTATCCACCTCTCGGCTAAATCGGCTTAGCTGGGATAAGTGGTTCGCTCAACAGCGTTCACAATCACTACCTCTCAGGAGACAGATACGGTACCTGAAACCGTAGAGACAAAACAGGAAACCGTCGCAGAATTCAGACAGCGACTGAATATACTAGACGACATAGAGACAGACTGGGAAGCATTAACAGCACACGAACAATACGTCGAAGTGTTGCTAACCCCGTTCTACTACTACCAACACGTCCAATTTGAAGGACCGCCAAGCTATTACGCTACAGCGGAGTTAACAAACCACGACGAAGACGTAATCCATTTCTTCTTCCCTACAAGCTCCGACACATATTCGGAACCATACGCTTGTTACCTTGACCAGGAAGATATTGCGGAAGATCTATATTATAGACCGATCAATCAGACATACGATCTCGCATTCTTGGAAGAAGATTGGGAATCACTTCGAGCGACACGAGCCGAATCATACGAGCTTGATCTCAGTGACTTCTTTTACGACGTCGGTTTAACTCCAAAGGAACGTGAAACTCTCTACGCATACACTCGCCTCCTCTTCGTACACGATAACAATGTCATCCTCTTCTGACCCGACCAAGCTCGCCACATCCACCATCCCGCAATTCGACGGCACCAACTATAAAAAGTGGTCCGACGCGATCCGAGCCTTCCTGCGCTACCAGGGCGTCTGGTACTTGATCCAGGGATACGGCTCCACAGCGACCGTTCCTGTCCCTGGTCTTGCCAGACCAATAGCTGCAACAGGTACACCCACGGCTACGGAAATCCTAGCTCAAGCTGCATGGGATGAGAAAAATGACAAGGCGCTGGGCATCATCCAGCTCTACGTCGCGCAGAACCTTCGTCATCTCGTCGATGACAAGTTCTTGGCCCTGGACGCATGGACCGCGATCAAGGCCGGCTACGAGAAACCCGGAGCGGTAGGCGCATTCGTCGCCTTCCAGAAGCTGTTCAATGCACAGCTCTCTGACAGCTCCGCGCTCGGCCCGCAACTCGACGCGCTCACAGAGCAGTCCAACCAGGTCAACGCGGCGGGAATAGAAGTAAAACCTCAGCTTCTTGCCCTGCTCATGATAAACGCTCTCCCAAAGTCGTACCAGACCATCGCTGGTACAATTCTCACCACACAGACTGATGTTACGCTGCTCACAGCGGCGCTCATCAAGCCCAAGATCGTCGAGGAGGAACAGCGCCGCGTCGCGAACCGCACTCAGATTGCGCGCGTCTCAAGGCGCCCCTCCTAGACAGAAATGTGAGAAGTGTGGTCGCAGAATCACACGACGGAGCAACACTGG